GGAAGCGGCTGGTCCCGCTAGAGGCAGTATAAGCAGACGTCTTATCCGTCCGCATGTATATATGCATCTGTGTACATACATGTGCGTGTGCGTGCGTGCATGACCTACGACAACCTGCCGCTCGATTTCGGCGCACCACCCAAGTGTGACGTTCGCACACCGACCCGGCCAAATCCCCTGTTCCACTTTTTCCACGGAGGTCACGGAGTACCGCGCATCAATTCGGAAGGTCGGTCAAGTAGGGGGTGGTGCACGAGGTGAAGCCTGAAGCAAGGAAAAGCGTTTAAATCGCTGATGCTGGAGAGGAAAGGCGCGAGAAATCGGACATTTCTAGAATTGTCGTCTGCGGACGAGGATGTTGCCCCCGACACGCGATCGTCGTCCCGCGGTATTTTAACTTCTCCCAAGGCTCATTATTAAAGGAGAATCCTCGGAGAGGTTCCCGCGCGAGAACGCGACATTGCAGGTCTATGCGCGAATGTCGATTATTCGATCGATGAGCGAAATCCATCGACAATTAATTAGCGAATCGGAAATCGTCGCCGTGTCTTCTTTGCATCGCAGGTACCGCAACCAAATTTTGGACATTCATTCAAGATAGAGAACGAATCGATTGCTACTTATTGTTAGTCGCGGTAGGAAAATACTCGCGTCGCGTCGCGGTTGGTTCGCTCGCGTCGCTCTCGGAGAGAAAGTACGCGAACTCTCGAACCGGAAGTGCCATCGAGCAAGAATATTCAACGCCGCGATTCTTTCTCTCTCTCTCTCTCTCTCTCTCTCTCTCTCTCTCTCTCTCTCTCCGTCCCTTAAGCCTCTATTGCGTGATCTTTCTCTTTTGCTACCACATTTACGTAAACCTCACCGAATACTCAAAGAACAATACGCCATGTGCATTTAGATTATAGATTGTGGACTAACCACTATGATGTGTGGACTAATACCCCTGCGCATCGTTAAATCGACGGTGTATGATGTCGTCCAGACGCACCCCAGCAACGTGACTGCAGCTATCGCCGACCCACCGCCATTCCGATCTCAAAACGGAAACACTGCCAATTAACAGCGAATCTAAGCACGCTGATCGAAAGCTCCTGCCTTGCCCGCCGCGCTGCCGCGTGATTTCTTCTTCCCACGAATAAGCTCGACGACCACGGCCAAAGTCACACGCGGATCCTTTCCGGGTCGGGCATGCGCGACGGGCCGCGTGTTCCCGAAACAGCGCGCGAGTCCAACGAAAGAAGATACCGGAAGAGACCACGGTGATGAACATGAACACTATTTTGTCACACAAAACACTGCCGCTTCCGAATTTAACGAATCACTGCCATTTTTCAAAGGAAAAACAAACAGAACTGATCTATCAATCGCGGCCAATTTGCACTTATGTACCTATATATATGAGAAAGCAAGAGACATCGATTATTTTGACATTAAAATATGACTGTTGTGAAACCGAGCCATGCTTAGTGATTTTGATTATTTATTTGGTATTTAAGAAAACGATTTCAAAAATTGTCTATTAGACGAGCAGTTTAGTAACCGTGATCAAGTATATGTGATTTCCTGTTAAACAAGTTGTGTATTTAAATAAAAGGGTGATTGTGTTATCTATAATCATTGTTCGATTGCGACTGCCATTTTGATCTACGCACATACGCAATCGAATAATTACGCATATATATAATCATACAGCGGAGGATCCATGCACAATACGTGTGCCCTAAATGTAATCGCAAGAAATTTTATGATAAGGGAAGAAAAAAAGAAAATAATTTACGAGCCTTGGCAAATTTCGGTTATCGATATTTTGTTATATTCGAATGCAGACCTGGAAAAAATGAAATCTTGCGAAGCATTACGAGAGATTCATAAACAGCGAATAAAAAAAAATTAGCCTCAAACAAATGACGGCGATCGCAGAATTATTCTAAATTAACTAAATGATCATGCAGTATTATTGATCCATGGAAGGGACTCGTCGACGTGATAGAGATAACATTAATGTAATGAATTAAACGTTATCTGCACGAACTCGATATCGATTTGATATGAAGCGATCGAGTGCATGCCCGGCGAATCGGCTCTGCATTCCGCATTGATCGGTCTGAGACACTCTCGCGTCAAGTATTTCGAGGTTGTAAGGATCTTTATCTCTCTCGTAGAACTTGCATAGACAATGATCGCTGATTGAAATGGAAAGCAATGATAAATAGCATTTATACATAATAAAAATCAGATCGACGTGGAGAAAAGCCATTGACGAATCCTGGACGATCAAGTTTTCCACAGAATCACGATCGGTGATAACTTTTGTGCTTTACGAAGGTACTTCGCAAAGAAACGAAGAAAAAAACGACCGAGCGGACCAGCAAGGCAACCGTTATCTTTTTGTGATGTGAAGAAACCGAAAAGCAGGTGGCATAATAGACGAGCTATCGTTATTATTATTGGGACAAAAGATAACCTACTTACCGGTATACCTCGAGCACGTGTCCAATACTCGTTCCACTGCCTTTTCGTCTAGATGAGATCGTTTAAGCCGTCTGGAAAAAAGATAAATTATTTATAGATTATTTACATATCTCGACAGAGCCTAAACGTCCAGCGCAATTATCTTCTAAATATTTAGCTTCTAATATAACTTCGCGTTTGTTTTAAATAATATTTTATGATAATCTCATTCGACACGTAATTAATAAAAATTATAAAAACAAAAATAATAAGAGACTCGCGTTTCGGTAAGCACGAGTAAATTGTATTTTTAATGACTCGTAAAACTGGCAACGACGACGGCGGCGGCGACGGCGGTGATTACGAGGGTGGCGCATGGTGCCGGAAGTGTTGAACAAATGAGGAACAAGTGCGCGTGCAAGTGCCTGAGAAAACGGACCAGGCGGCGGAGACGCGTTTCCGACTGAAACGTCCGGTGCAGTCGGAGAAGGTGAGAATCTGTGCGTGTTGATGTGCGCGCGTGATATCAAAACACGTGGTGACGAGACGGATCATCGGCTCTCCGATATTAATCCGAGTCGTTTATCATCGATATCGCAGAGACCGTGTTTGTTCCGACGATCCCCCTCGTCGGTGCCGAATTTTGAGGAGATTCTGCGGTCGCAACTACCATTTTCATACTTCGGATGTCTTAAGCGGAAAAAGATGTAAGTCGTAAGGCGTAAGACAATGTAGGACGCAGTCGCATTCTGCACATAAGAATATTCTAGAATATAGATAGCGGTGTCAGATCCCACGTGTCAGGAATAGTAAACGTTGAACATAAAACAAGATTCGACGTTCTAAATGCTACAGGGATTATCAGTGACCCAACATTATAATGTATCTCTGTATAAAATATAATTAACCAATATTTACCGAGGTATATGAGTCATCATTAGAGAGCCAATTAAATGAGGTAATGAGATAATATTTCTAAAATAGCTTTACTTCTGTAACATGACATATGTTGCAAATTTAATTGAAATTCGTGCGGCATTTAACATGTTAATGATATTGCTGCTATCAGTATATAAATAAACATATTATTTTATTTTGTGATTTGTAATATAAAAAAGTGTATTATATTTATAAAATATCTTATTTTATTTTATATCAAATATCGTGCTATAAAGTTAACAGAATAATAATTTGTTGTTCCGTTTCTAGAATAAAATAAGGTCTTTAATATTATAAGAATTATTACAAATATGTAATAGATATGATATATAATCTCATATTACCAGCAGCCACTTTATCCACTTTTTTCATTTTTTTTTTAAAAGGTCACTTTTAATTACTTTTTTCAAATTTAGTCACCTTTTCCCCTTTTTTGACATTTATAAACTGAAAATGTTACAACATCGCGCTGGTGTGCCGAGGCATTACCCAGTGAGAAATGACAATGAAATTGATGTCGATTCGATGTCGATTCCATTATCATTTCTCACTGGGTTAGGTTATTTATAACATATTATTTATAACAAAAGCCATAAGGTGCGAGTCTTTAATGATTATCCCAGTCGAAAAGAAGATTACCGAAAAACTCAAGCCGAAAAGAATGTTCCGATACATGCATTTGTTAAGTATGTGCCATCACGGTGATTAACTTTGGGACCAATCGCAGAAAGAGTAATCGAACAATACCCGGTTTTATTGCATTTTTTTTTAAACAATGACAAAAAAAATCTTCAACGAAATTAAACGAAAACGGCAGAATTGTAAAAATCGTTAATGATTTGAAAAATTCTTTATGGTTGACGCTAAAAAGTTCGTTTCTATTCAACTTTCCAGCGTTGGCGGGTCAATTCTTATAATATGAAATTGATTTTGTGTATTTTTAATTGGCAAATTTTGTTTATTAAAATTCCAACATGTAAAGCGAAGAAAGTGAGATAAATGAATAAACATGAAATAATACTTTGAATATTTATTTAATATAATATGAGAAGATATTATATGAAATTTCTTTTTGAATTAAATTTACACATTCTGTCATCTATGTGTGATATTTATAATTAAACATATTGAACTTTAAATTCCAGAATAATTGACACAGTAATATACACGGCAGATATCTATTGTCTCCTCGCTACAGATTACAAAAGTTATAGGTTCGATATTTCTTGACGCTAAAAAACGAGCGTTTCAGTGTCGCATGAAAAGGCACCCTTAGAGCAGAAGTTATATTTGTATCCGAAAGTGCTCAGCTGTTCGAAAACTTTTGTAAAGTTTTTCAAAAGCAAGAGCTTTTAATTCATATCCTTTATGAAGAAATTAGAAATTTATTTACAATAATTCTGAATAAAATATGTAAGCCTGAGACAGTTAAACAATTTAACAAACTAAAAAATCCGTTTGATATCGAAAATATGCTTTCTATAAAGGATATTAAATGCTCTGATAAAATTGATGAGGTGTTTAAGAAATTGAGTGAAAGAGATGAGTTACAGTTCCGCTATAATGTTCAATAGCATTACAAAGCACCTGCTGAATATCTATTGTCAAAATCTATTTTAAAATTTGAGACAGCTAAACACTTTCGGTTTCTTCAACCTCATCAGTTAAAGAAACCTGAAATTAGTTTTGGTATCGTAAAAATCAATCAAATCCTTCTACTGGGGATTGCTGAGTCTCATCTCTTAAACGAATGGTCTATTTTTCAGCTTGAAAATATGCCCATTTTTACCCATGAGCGAACAGATCACTATTGGAAAAAGATATTTGATATAAAAGATTCAATGGGAGAGCCAAAGTTTCCATTAATAACGAAAATTGTGAAAGCTAGTTTTAGTATAACTTTCAGTTTTAGTCTCATACACGGTAGTGTTGACGTAGAGAGACGTTTAAGTGATTCTAATAATCAATTGACAGAAGAAAGAGCCTCAATGTCAATAAAGACACTCAACGGCAGAATGATAATTAAAGATGCTCTAAAAAAAATATAACAAGCCCGCACTGAAAAAAATGTTATTCATAATATCAATGAATGACATTTACTGACTTTAAATTCATTGATATAATGAACTTTTAATAGATATTATGAATATTTTA